CCCCTCCCTGCGCCCCCCCCACCCCCCCCACCCCCTCCCTCAAAATCTATCCCTTTATCTTTATGGTTTGATTTGAAGTAAATCTCACAACCGAGTTGAGGGACATCTCCCCTATATCCAAGTGCAAGTGCTCGTCTCCCTCTACCTTTTCTTCTTTCGACTCCTCATTATCTGTCTCCTCCTCCTACAAACTAAAAGAAATTGGAGTGTGTGATCCTTGCACCGGTGGTCTAGGCATACTTATCCTCATATTAGAAATATAATCCATTTGCTCTCTCGTTATGCAACTGTGCTTCTGTGAGGTGCTTGAAGTTGAATCCTTTTGGTGCCTCCGTTTGAAATGATACAATCTGGGTTCTTGGTGTCATGGTCGTCTAGGTACTCTCGTAGAATCCTTCCGTATATCCATTTTTTCTGGTCTCCTTCATTTGGTTCTCGGATTTCATTATTTGGGTGAGTTTCATTGTCCCCCTCGATCCCCGCGGTCTCAATAGTCGCAGTATTGTCTCTATGCCAGGTTTTAGGCCATTCATGTAATTTCCCTCCAATCTTCATTTAGAAATCCCCTCGGTCATCCCGACAATAATTTGAATTTCTCCCTATATTTCATGACAGTCTCATACACATAGAATTGTTTGTATAGATCTCCTTTCCAAATGGCTCGGAAACATTCCAACAAGCAATCATTAAATTCCTCCCATGAATGGATAAGGTATCTAGCCTTCATCCATTGAAATTATGCTAAGGCTTTCCCCTCCAAATATAACCATTCCACTTTGAGCTTCTTTTCTCCATTTAGCCCATTCACTGTAATGTATCACTCCACCCGTTACACTTGCCCATGTGTGACTTCACCCTCGAAGATCGACATTTTTAACTTCTTTATCCTAGCATCACCAAACTTTCTCTCTCTGGTGTTTCCCCCATGTATCTAGGATGAAACTCCCTCCCTCGATCATAGTCATACCCCATTCTATTTTCTCTCATTCTTTCTTTGTGCTCCTCCCAACCTTGCATAGCCCCTCCATTTTTCGGCCCAATTCTCTTAATCAGAAATCTCTAATTCATCCTCTATCGTACTCCTATGGGGGAGTTTTTGATGGTGGATACATTCCTCCCTATGTTCCTCTTATTCGCTCATTTTTCCTTTCGATCTAGCCACAGATTCTTCGATTAACCCTTGGTTAGGATTTGCAAATTGAGCTGTCGGCAGAATTCTTAGTGTGATCCCAAGGTCACTTACCAGATGGCTCGATCGCGACTCTATCTCGTCGTTCGATGGAGGGTAGTATGCCATGATCTCGTGAGTGTTGCCAGCTACCTCAAAATCGCGATTGTTTCTCGCGCCTAGGCCACACGCTTCCTAGCTAATTAAATTGCGTCTCTATTGCAAGGTTCGGTCTCGAAGGCTGCGATGATCACGTTTTTGGATTTCTCTCTCGCCGAATCCTTACTGTCCAGCGACATGACAATCCCATTTAACCCTCTACGCAACAATCAGGTCACTTCTTCCCAGAATCATGATGCTCAGGTACTAATTTGATACGATTTTTCACGGAAATTGAGGCAGGCACATATTTTATGACAAGAACATGAAACATTCAACATGAATACAAAAATAAGTACCTACAATTTGAGAGGTAGTCGATCTCTCCCAGTTTTTATAATTTGAGATGTAGGAAATCTCTCCCAAACCTTAAACCTAAAACTCACAACAACAATCTCACACATAATGTTAACCCTGATCATATTAGCTCTATTTATACTAAACAATAATAAATAATAAAAGACTAAATTATCTTTGAGTACCGGCGTAACATTATGCAATATTTGCCTGAATTTTCAATGTGGCAGATGAAATTATGAAAGTTTGTTAGCTACCTCAAAATCGTGATTGTTTCTCGCGTCTAGAGCGCACACTTCCCAGCTAACTCAATTGCGTCTCTATTGCAAGGTTCTGTCACAAAGGCTCCGGCGATCATGATTTTTTTTCCTTCTCGCTGAATCCCTGCTGTCTCGCAACTTGATGATTTTGTCTAACCCTGTACACAACGATCCGATCGTTTCTTCCCAAAATCTTGATGCTCAGGTACTAATTTGATATGATTTTGCACATTTTTTCACGGAAATTAAGGCAGACGCATATTTGATTGCAAGAACATCAAAAATTCAACATGAATACAAAAATAAGCATCTATGATTCGAGAGGTTGTTGATCTCTCCCAATCCCTACAATTTGAGATGTAGAAAATCTCTCCCAAATCCTAAACCTAAAACTCACAATAACAATCTCATTCATAATGCTAACCATAATCATATTAACTCTATTTATGCTAAACAATAATAAATAATAAAAGACTAAATTATTTTTTAGCACCAACGTAACATTATAATGCAATATTTGCCTGAATTTTCAAAATGGCAAATGAAATTATGAAACTTTGTAGTTAATGCAGAAGATTGTTTTGGAGTTTTAGGAAAAACTATAAATTGATTCATCTACTTGCTAGCCTTTAATGGTGGAGTGTGGAGATCTGAAAGGGCAGATATACTATAAATCTTATGATGCACCCTATAAATTACATTATGCTAAAACACCCCTTAATTACTGGACTTGGGATGTAAAAGTGGCATAGACTAGAGAATAAATCTAGAGTTTTTTATTAGATTAGATGTATTAGAAGTAAACATCATTGTCTTAATCAAGAGGAGGCACCGACCAAGCTATAAATATTATTTTAGGATATTACTGAGTTTTTTATATATAAACGAAATGATTAAAATTATGAGGTGTAAATTAAATTAATTAAAATAGTAAATTTGAGATAACTTTGAAGAAGTGCTTTAAACGTAGGCCATCATAGGAAGTTTTTTTATAGTAATTTTAATTTTAAAATTCGTAATTTCCAATTGTTCTTTAATAATTTTATGTATAAATAGAACAAAGGTTTTAGCCTTTTTTTTTTCTATAATAAATCAGCCGAGTATTTTATTCAGTCATGAGATCATAATTTTTATTTATATAATTTATCATTCTTATGGCAGGTTCCACTAGGCATGGAGGTGCCATTTGAATTATTAGGACCTGTCTATCATCAGGTTCTCTCATCTTCTCTGAACTTCATGCCAATAAGTTTTCTTTCTGTTTAGAACCACTTTAGGAATTCGTAATATATACATTACCTATCAATTCCTATATATTTACATATGTAACCGTCAAACTTTACTTATTTTACGTTTATACTGTTGAGTTGTGTGGAGCCGAAGCACCAACACGTAATAGAGCACCTAGCGCATATGCGCTGGGTTGTTATGCGCTGGGTTGTGGGTGTCTTTGCGCTCATTGGAGTGTTGTTCGATTACCAGAGGGACTGGTGCATATGCGCCAACCTATGGGCGCATATGGTGTTGTTTTCATATAGTGGTTGACGCTTATGTACCAACCTATTGGCACTTATGCGCCCAATATTAGGCGCTTCACTTCTTTTCTCCTTATGTCTGGAACAGTTTGTACACGAATTAATTGGTTCTTAAGCCAATTTCTAGTGGGGTAAGTGTAATGAAGTGGTTTTTTCTTCTAAAGTTCTTTGACAACTATCCCGTTGAAGGTGAGAATGTTCAAAGAGGTGGATTTCTGTAATTCGACGTGATTCTTGCGTTAGATTGGATAAGGAAGCATTTGAAGTGTGTCATGTAAGTTTTCTTGTGTGTAGAAAGGAAACTTGTGTGAGTTCTTTGTAAAACTTTCTAAATGTAGTTATGGACTTTCCATTAAACTCTTATCAGAGTGGGGTTCGATTTAAGTGAGAGCCCAATGAAGCAATGTTCAAAGTGGAGAAGTTCAATAGAACGAACTTCGCTTTTTAGAAGATGCAGGTGGAGGATTTGTTGTATCAGAAAAAATTATATTTGCCACAACAATGAATCATAAGGAAGCCTGAGTCTATGCCTATGGAGGAATGAGAATTTTTGGATTGAACGACATTATGTTTGATTCAGTTGTCACTTTCCTCATCTGTTGAGTTTAACATTGGGAATGAGAAAACTATGGTGGATCTCATGGGGGTACTGATTAAGATATACAAAAAAGTTTCTGCTTCCAATAAGATTTTTTCTGATGAAGTTATTCAACATGAAGATGATGGAAGACAATTTAGTGGCATAACATCTCAATAACTTTAACATTATAACGAGCCAGCTCTGTTTTGTGAGGATCAAATTTGATGATGAGGTCACGACACTTAGGGGTTTCAATTTGGGTCCACGAGTCGGGTTCAGGTCTACCCCGAAAATGACCCGCACCGGTCAACTTGAACCCGAATGGAATAAGGTCAACCCAAACCCAACTCGAATAATAAACATGTCTAAAATTAAGGCCCGAACCCGAGCTTAACCCGCTAACCCGAAATCAACTTAAAATTTATTGCTTATTCGGGTCATGTTTAGATTTTTGGGTTCAACCAGGACCTGGCCTGAATAATAAACAAGTCGAATTCTTTGACCCAAACCCGATTCGAAAATGTTCAGGTCAACCTTAACCTAAATTTTTTCTAGTTGAGTTGAAGTCATATTGGCATGTCGGGTCAATTTTTGATACCCCTAAGAAAACTAGTGATACTATCTTCATTGTCGGACAACTAGGATGGTTTGGTAATGACGATGAGTAATTCTTCAAAGACTTCAAAGTTGAACTTTGATGATATTGTGGGTCTGATACTGAATGAAGAAGTTTGCAGAAAAGCCGCGAATAGTGAATCTTCAAGTTCTGCATTGAATCTTGATAACTTAAAAGGGAATCTTGGCAAGAATACATGCAGATGCAGATCTAAGTCCAAGAAAGGAAAGCTCAAGTCAAGCAAAGGAGAATGCTGGAACTATGGTAAGAAGGGGTATTTCAAGAAGGACTGCTAAGCTCTAAGGAAAGCTGAAGATTTAGCAGGTTCATGTTAGATAATGGGCACTTAAATTTTTAGGCAAACCACTGTTGGTTCATCAAACACTTCGGTAGTTGTTATATTTTTCTTTATGTATATGTGGATAACATGCTTTTTGAAGGGACATATGGAGAAAATCAGGGACTTGAATAAATAATTATCAAGTGAGTTTGAGATAAAGGATTTAGGTCCAACCAAGAAGATCCTCAAAAAGAGAATTAACATGGACAAGGGTGCAGGAACACTAAAGTTGTCTCAGATAGAGTATGCTGAGAAGATCGTACAAAGGTTCAGCATGAGTGAGGCAAATACAGTTAACACTCCCGCCTATCTAATGTATGGTTCTATTTGTAAATAGAAGAATTTTAAGGGTTTATTTTTAAATATTGTATGGCTCTATATAACTCAAAATGTTAATGAAATGAGGAAGTTTAATTACAAAATCATTCCAATGTGATATTAGAGCTCGAAACTACCGCCTCCAGCTCGATTGGACTTCTTTGGCATTGTCTTCTCGCACGACCAGTAGGATTGGCATCGTCCTCACAGTTGTGAGCTGGGATCACAAATTACGACCAGGAGGATCAACATCATCCTCGCAGTCATGAGCTAGGATGGTGAACTACGAATGAAACGAGATCACAAAGGAGCTGGGAGCTGGGAGTAGGGATCACAAAGCAGTCGCGACCGTAGCTCGCTTTAGGAAGGCAACGAAAGGAGTGCGGCTCGCTGGAAAGGATCACAATAGATAATCCTCGTGATACAATCGATGGGAAGGCAACTATGGGATCACAGGTTGCGGCTCAAGGCTTTTGGCTCGATGTTTAGAGATAAAGTGAAGGGAAGACTACAACGTGACTTCGGTGTAAGGAGGAAACAGTGAAGCATGCTGTTCGAACGTCGTCTGTTTGAGCGTGAGGGTTGCGGCTAGATGCAGTGGAGACGAAGCGAAAGAAAAAACAGTAAGCCTTCATCATGAAGAGAAAGCAATGGAGAAGGGGCTTCATGTAGTGTTAGCAGGAGCGGCGAACGGTTTGATTTATCCGTGTGAATAGAGACGTGCAATCAAGTTTGTGTGGCTTGCGATCGACGAATTCGTGCGACAGAAGCAAACAAATCTTCAGTTGGATTGTGTCGCATGAGAATAACGACTACGACTTCGTGTAGAAGAGTTAAATAAGGGGATTGAGACTTCTGTGGCTCTTGGATTGGGTGAAGGATTTGTGACGATAAGGAAAAAAGACAAGGAATTGACTTCATCAAGCTCAGGTATAATAGGTGCTCAGTGGGAGACCCACATGCACTACAACTATGGAGAAGTAGGACACTTGGACAAGGCTTATCCAAAGCCACCCAAAGAGAGAGAGACGGGTGACATGGATCGTCTAGAAGGGGCTACCGGGAAAATCTGATGGTAGCAGTGAACGAGGGAAAGATAAGGGTGGTCTTCACCAAAGAGGATCACAAGTTTCTAGAGATATTGAAGAAGAAGTAGAGAGCAACATGTGATGTCACTGAGAATGTGTCTACTTTATCGTCATCCAAGGGAACCCTGCTAGTTATGCTCACTTAGCCAAGGTGCTCGTGATACACATGCTCTCGCCTCTATATCCACCACAAGTTCAATAGAATGAATAGTAGATTCTGGTGCATCTCGACATGTAACATGTGCCTCTAATGATTTCTCTTCCTATACCCATCTAGCAGTTCCAGAGAGTATTCAAACCGCTAATGAGATAACACACCCTGTGGTTGGTAAGAAAATAGTGAGGTGTACCAATTCTATGATTTTGTCCAATATTTTGCATGCTCATTTCTTTCGAATGAACCTTTTATCTATTAGTGTTATTACACTCCAACTAAAATGTGTTGTTCATTTATTATTCCAAATGTGATCTTTTAAGAGAAGGGGATTGGCCGGAAACTTGTGACTGATATGTAGCAGACTCTGATACTTGGATAGAGAGGGGATGAACTAAGCCTTAAAATCCATGGTTGAGAATGTTGGAGCAGAAGGATTTGAGGGCAGTGTGGAGGATGTATTGTATTGCTGCTATATCACAGGCGCATTGGACACTCTCTGTTTAGTCTATTGAGTTGTTTATACCCATCATTGTATGAAAAGACAAACAAAAACTTGTGTGTGATGCTTGTGAGTTTAGCGAGCATACCATGAACTCTTTTGTTAGTACTGGTAAAATGAGTTCTTATATTTTTGATTTGGTGCATTAAGATGTATTTGAACCTTGTTCTACAACTTCAATGGATGGTTACAAATATTTTGTAACTTTCATTGATTATTTTTCTCGTCTTACTTAATTATATCTGATGAGAAATAAACATGACGTGCTTGCCTGCTTTAAGGACTTTCACTGGGCAATTCAGACTCAATACGGTGCTGTAGCGAATGTATTGAGGTTTGATAATTTGACAAGTCGTTTTGAGAAAACTTGTCAACCAAAGAGTTACATCATTAAACATGTTCATACACACTGACACAATACAAAGCGGCATAAATGAATAATAGACACATTCTAGAGGTAACTCGAAGCACGATTATCACAATGAATGTCCCAAAACACTTGTGGGGGCAAACAATTTTGACAGCTGCTCCATTAATCAATAGAATACTCTCGAGAGTGTTGGATTGAAAGTTTCCTTATTAGATGTTGAAAAGTGATAATAGTGGGATCCTTTCATTGAAGTTATTTGGATGTGTTTGCTTTGTGAAGACAACAGGTCATCTGTAGTTGAGTTGGATCACAGAGCTGTGAAATGTGTGTTCGTGGGATATTCTGCTATTTAGAAGGGTTATATATGTTGGAGCCCGATCGAAAAGATGGCCTTTGTGAGTATGGATGTGTCATTCAGAGAGTTTGAACCATACTATAATTTGAAGTTGAATTCATCCTTCGGTGACTCAACAACCACTCGAGATATGAGACAAGAGAGAGAGTGTAGTAGTAGTGATGGAGTGTTGCAAGTGGGAGAAATATCATGTCCTCTGATGTGGAATGAATCAACTGAGGAGACGAAAATCGAGGAGATGGGCGTCATTGGTTGTGGGATTTAAACTGAAGGTGAGCTGAGGGTATACACACAGAGGAAGAAGCAAACTCAGGGGACAGATCCTGCGGTACCAACAAGTTCTTTGTCTCAGTCTTCCCCAACTCTTTAAACACCTACACCATCCACCTTTGATTCAAAACTCTCAAGTGATATTATTCCTCCTCCATCCACTTCTAGCCTGCCATCATTAAGGAGGACCTCATGCAGCAATGTGGGACATCCTGATCGTTTTGGGTGGGAACTTGACATTGCAAACTTTTTTTTTATTATTCTAACATCTCACCTTTGCATTGAGCATTGATTGCATCATTGGACTCTGTCTCTATACTCAAGTATTGACATGTTGCTAAAGATGATCCAAAGTGGAAAGTGACAATGCGTGAAGAGCTTATAGCTTTTGATAAAAACCGAACATGAGAGATTGTACCATTACCAGCAGGGAATAAGGTAGTTGTATGCAAGTGGATCTTTACGGTAAAACAAACTCCAGAAGAGAATGTGGAGAGGTACAAAACACGACTAGTGGCAAAATGGTACAGTCAAATGTATGAGATTTGCTACGAAGAAACATTTGCACCAGTGGCGGAGATGAGCACAATGAGTACACTGGCTTCTCTGGCCTTGAATGGTGGATGGAGACTCCACCAACTGGATGTGAAGAATGTTTTTCTTCATGGGGAGCTACTGGAGGAGGTATATATGGAGATACCATTAGGATTCAAAACATCCCAGACAGTGGGCAAGACGTGTAGGCTCAGAAAGTAACTATATGGCTTGAAGCAATTTCATTGAGTCTGGTTTGACAAGTTTAGAATAATGATACTTGGCATGACATACCAGCAAATCAATGCAGACCACACAATATTCTTTCAGCAACATGAATGTCACACTACCATACTTGTGTATATGAATGACATAATTATCACTAGTGATAATGAGGCAGAGATTACTCTACTGAATGGAAGATTAGGGAAGCATTTTGGGGTACAATTTATATACTTTTTTGGAATTAAAGTGACTTATGGACCTGAGGGGATGATCTTATCACAGAGAAAGTATGTATTAGATCTTCTCACAGAGACAAGTTTGCAGGTGGTGCAAACTTGCAGTCCCTTTAATTGATCAGCAAGTTAAGTTCATTATAGAGACCGGTGAATCAGTTGATCGTGAGAGGTACCAGAGGTTAGTTGACCGATATTTTTGTTACAGTGAGTGTGATGAGCTATCACATGCATGATCCAAGGGCAATATGGATGCAGTGTGTCAAATTCTGAGTTATCTAAAGAGTCCACCAGGAAAATGGTTGATATCAGGAAGAATTGGCATGTAGATAGGCTTCTGTGATTTTGATTAGGCAAGTTGTGCTGATGACAAACGATCCATATCAGAATATTACATGTTTGTAAGTTGCAACTTTGTCTCGTGGATGAGCAAGAAACAGTCAGTTGTAGCAAAATCAACAACAGAGACAAAATATAGGGTCATGGCATTAGGAGTTGTTGAGATGATGTGGCTAAATGCTTTGTTAGTTGAACTCAAAGTAGATCAAGGAACTCAAATAAAGTTGTGGTGTGACAACAAGTTGACAATCAACATTACTAACAACACGGTGCAACATGATAGAACTAAACATGTGGAAACTGATAGATTCTTCATCAAGGAGAAGTTGAATAACAGATTGTTAAAACTAAGTCATGTAGCTTCTTGAGAGCAGGTGGTTATTTGCCTCATTAAATGACTTAGCTTAGTGGAGTTAACTAGATTATGTGACAAGATGAGCTTAGAGAATATCTTTCGTCCACCTTGAGGGAGAGTGTTGAGATATGTATCTAATATAATGTTTTATTTGTAAATAGAAAAAGTCTAGGTTTATTTTTAAATGTTTTTTTGGCTCTATATAAGTCAAAATGTTAATGAAATGAAGAAGTTTAATTGCAAAATCATTCCAATTGGTAGTCTCTTCAAACTATCTAAGGAGCTATCACCAAATTCTGAAGCAGAGCAAACATAATGGAGAGAACTCAATATGCTTCAACAGTTGGAAGCTTGATGTATGCGATGATTTGTGTCAGACCTGATATTACATATGTGGTGAGAGTGTTCAACAGGTATATGAGCAATCCATAAATGTATAATTGGGAGCGGTAAAGTGGATTCTCAGGTATTTGAGAGAAACAATCAACAAGGCACTTTATTATTGAAGTGTGGGGATCAATCTATAGGGATTTGTAGATTCAGATCTAGCAAGTGATGCAGACAGTAGGAGAAGTACATCGGGGTATGTCTTTACATTGAGGAACATAACGGTTAGTTGGGTTTCCAAGTTGCAGAAGATCGTTGCACTTTCTACTACGGCGGCCGAATATATTGTTATCACTGATGATTTGGCTACATAGTTTCATGACAGAATTGGGCAAAGAGCAGAGGATTGGAAAGCTCTACAATGATAGTATGAGTGTGATTCTTATTGCTAAGGACGCTGCTTGTCATGTCACGATGAAGTACATTCAGTTGATGTATCATTTCATTCGATTTCTTTTAGAAGATGGGCAGTTATTCATGGAGAAGATATACACAGCTCAAAATTATGGAGATATGTTAACGAATGTGGTAACTACTGAGAAACTGAAACTATATTTGACTTCAGTTGGGTTTTATGAAGGTTGAGACCAGAGGTGAGCCACACCACAGTTTGTTACCACATTATGAGATTATGAAGGCGATTCAGATAGGAGCGATTCAGATAGAGGTGCAAGTACAGAGAACTAGTGCTTGGTGTTATTGTCTCCAAGCAGGAGATTTTTGAGTTGTATGGAGCCGAAGCACCAACAAATAATAGAGTACCCGACGCATGTGTGTCGGGTTATGAGCGCCTTTGAGCCCACATGAGTGTTGTTCGATTACCAGAGGGGCTGGGGCATATGCGCCCACTTATACTTGGGTGTTGCTTTCATACAGAGATGTTGGCACTTATGCGCCAACCAGCTGGTGTTGATTTACCCAATATTAGGCACTTCACTTCTTTTCGCCAAAGGCCACGACATTTAGGCGCCAAATTCGGGCGCCTATGCGCCCGGAGCAGTTTGTAAATGAAGTAACTGGTTCTTAAGCCAATTTCGAGTGTTGTAAGTGTAATGAAGTAGGTTTTCCTTCTGAAATTCTTCGACAAGGTTCTCGATGAATTTGAGAAGGGTTAAAGAGGTGGATTTTTGTAATTTGGTGTGATTTTTGCCTCGGATAGGAGAAGAAAGTTTGTGAAGCGTGTCCTGTAAGTTTTTTTGTGTGTAGAGAGGAAACTTGTGTAAGTTCTTTGTAAAATTTTCTGAATTTCATAGTTAAATTTTTTGGTGATGTGACTCTGTGTTTTTTTCCCCTTATCTGATTTTTTCATGTAAAATTCTTGTATGTTTTTCTTGTTATTTTGATTGTGCTTCCTTTTAGATTTTGTTCTTGTTTTCTCAAATTTGTGCAATCTTGTTATTTCGCGATGTGGTTTAATTTATGATTGATCTTAAATCCTAATAAAGTTGGGAATTATTCTGGAATTTCCCATCATATACCAACCAAACATTTCATTTCACATAAAAAAATACCATCATTTTTAACTTCTTAAAATTGAAATACACTTTTGTATGCATGCATATGTGATCTGGCACGTATGTAATAATCGAAGTCTTAAGTGTTAGATATGTAAATACATAGGAATTGAGTGGTATGTATGTAAATATTCCCTTTCCAAGATTGGGCTACAATTATTGTGCCATCTATTTCTGCATCTTCTTATGGCATGATACTATTTCACAGCTGCAGTCCTTCCAAGTGGAGGATATCAAACAAGACTATGATACTGGTAAAGATGGCTTCACCATGCTTTCTTTCCTTGTGGATTATGAGAAGATTGAGGATTTGGAGACTGCCATCAACTCCACATGCAGCAGAAAAATAGATTTCTACAAACATTAGTTCACAAATTTACAAAGATTTATCACTATTGTATTTCATGAATTTGAGAAAAGGTTCATTTTGTGGGTTCATTTTGTGTGTAAGAACTTATGTGGTATTTATGTAAATGCCCCCTTTTGTTGATAACTATTAGACATATAAATTTAAATAAATGTAAAAATAAATTAAGCACAACATTCCGCTCTCATTTTTGAAGAATTCTACATTGTAAAACGGGCAGATTTTTAGGAGAGCTCTTTTAATAACGTAATAAGGGGAAGCAGCTCTATTAAAATTTACATAAAAAATTAATGTCAATTAATAATTTATAAATTAATAAAATTTGTTCAATTAATTTTTTATTAAAAATAAAGTGTTATATATATATATATATATATATATAATTTAATTTGTTCAATAATTTTTTTTACTAATAAAATTTGAGTGATTTATAAGATTCATGTCATATGCATGTATATCTCCTATACTTACTTCCTAATACCGTGCTCGCAGTAAAACTTCTAAGATTCTTACCGACCAGATTAATCGACGCCGGCCTTAAATTAACACGACAGCCATAAAATGATTCAAACCATATTGATCCAACTTCGCCGCAAGTGTCCATGCAATAGAAACAAATTTGATGAGAATGTATCAGTCAAAAAAGTTTTTCAGCAGTCACCATTTGTTAAGACACAACTTGAACCATCTCTACAAAACCGGCACCAGTAATTAATAGGCCACAAAAATATATGATTCAAAACCCTAATTTTGGAGATGGGGTATCTATGTTTAGAGTCTATGTCGACCTGCTTACAGTTTGTTTATAAACAAAAAAAATTCTCAGAGTTTTTCAGGCAGTCATGGCAGCAAGGACCTGATCAACCTGTTTCGGCAAAATGGGGAACCTAAAGGAGCAATTAGACCAAGACTTTGCATGACTCTCGTACGTCGCGGGCTCAGGATACATTTAGTCTGAGTAGGTTATGATGAAAATGAATATAATTTCGTAACACTATTTAATCAGCATGCGGAGCGAGTGTTGCGAAAGAAAGAGTAAAATGTCAAAGTAGTCCCTACATTGTTTAAATGTATGATCATTTAGTCCTAGCGTCTATGAAAGTGCTAAATTAGTCCCCAAATTTTTTAAATTGGAGCTGAAATAGTCATCTATGAGAACTATTTGACCTATAATAAAATAGTCATGGGGATTAAATTGACACTTTTATAGACTCCAGGATTAAAATGACCCATTGCAAAGAATCAGAGGACTATTTCGACACTTGTCTCAGAAAGGAAAATAATACTTACATTACTAGGACTATCCATTTTCTCTCTTGAAGCATCATGTTTGATAACCGTGCCTCTTTGAGCTCCGTTCATTGCATCTTCCGTCTCATCGGGCTTCATTTCATCACTTTGCTTTGCGAAATTTGATTCGGATTTTACATTTCCATTCATCACATCCAAAAAATCCTTTGATTGGTGGGCACCATTGATCCCTTGATGTTCATTTTTCGCTTTCTCCATTGCATTTGCCGTGTCGAAGCAAGTATTGATTGTCCTGTCATTATTGTCGCATTCAAAAATTTTGTCATCAGAGTCTCCATTTGGCTCTCCTACAGCACTTGGTCCAGCAGTTTTGGCTTGAGTATCACCTCTGGATATTTTGATATCTTTATTCATCGCTCGTCTTGGAATATGTCGCTTCGTGTTCTTCGTCTCCGAATATTTCTTCCTTGAACTGTTTATATATTCAGTGTTCTCAGGAAAGTTTTCCATCTCTTTAGCTTTCAATGCCTCATTTCTAGTCTTTTCAGCTACTTCTCTAACAATCTTTGCCACTAACTTCTTGATGTCTTTAGGATCTAAAACTCCAATCTGAGCATTCTGTTCTACACATTTTGACTCAGATGCCTTATCAAAGAGATTCAAACTTAATTTCTCCCTAGAATTCTTGCGACTCGAACTCCTTAAATCTTTTTTATCCACTGAACTGCAAGTAGAAGCCCTGCTGTTTAAATTTACCATCTCGTTCGATGTTTCGGTCCCACTAGTTCCTTCATTTCTTGCTTTAAATGTTTCACTTCTGGTCCGCCGCTTTGTGAATCCAAATCTCGAAGCTTTAAAATCATCAATGTTTTCGCACGTCACAACCTTAACTTGTTTAGCAGCTTTTGGGTTATCTGAAGAACCAGCTAGCTGAGAGCAGATTTGCCATTAGCACAATTATCACAAAAAATATAGACTTCATGCCATCAAATATCATATTGTATGGCACCCTTTAAAATAACAAGATTGTAATAAGCCAAAAGAAAACTCACAAGAGAATTGTCTGCTATCATGGTTCTCTTTAATCTTCCTTTAATTTGATCTTTTCCTCTACCAGATTCATCTTTCTCTTTCTCGATTTCTGAAATTTCTGTGAAATGATAAATCAGAGATTGTTATTATGTCGAGACAAAGAAAATTTAAAAAATTATTTAAGACAATCAACAACTCTTAGTACAAATTAATACTATCTACCGCCAAATTTATGTTCCTTCAATCAGAAGCAAAAGTTTACACAATAAAATCTGAAGATTATACATACAACATTTTTGGTGTTTTTTTTTTTTTTTTTCAAAGAGCAGTTCTTATGTATTTGCATATAAAACAACTAAGCATCAATTTTTACATATATGCCAACTACCATAAGCATGGAGCGTTAAAAATAGTGGTATTTTTTATATGAGATGTCAAAGCCATAACCGAAAATATCTGCTACATCAAGAGTATCTGACAGCAGCAAGGTGGCGGACACATTACTCATAACTACCTGAGGGCAATGGTGTAATTAGTTACCTAGCTACTAGAGTATTCTACTGTGCCTATATATATGTTTTCTGTGCCTGCGGTAATGTGCTAATGTCAAAATATTTTAATTCCCTGTTTCCCTGTCTCTGGTTGGTTTTATGGTAGCAGAGCCATTGCCCAGGAATCAATCAGGGAGTTCCACCGAGAAACCCTTGTTGGCGGCTGAGAAAGTCATCGGAGGAGAAGATTAAGGAGTGATTAGCTCCAGTGGTTGCCCATTAAATTGTATTGGTATGTAGGAGACCTGCGCCTATCTCATTCCAGTCCTGTAATCCTCTTCCTTTCTTTTCAAAATCCTTCAATACCATAGCAAATGCCAATCTCTCCTTTCTCTGAAACCAATGATTCCTTTGGTAAGGCACCAATGTCAGCCACTGTTATTCCTCCCTCCTTGAAATATTTGCTAAACAACCTAAAGAAATTCGCCTAAAGCATTTCGCTCAAACTCCTTTGACCGCTGATAACTACCATATATGACCGCTGATAACTACCATATATGGAGAGCCCAAATTCTTAAAGCATTCTCGGCAAATGGTTTTATTGGCTTCTTACAAGGTACCATTCCTTGTCCACCAAAGTTTCTTCTCTCCACAGATGATATTCCAACACCAAATCCTGATTATACGAGCTAGATTCTAATTGATCAAAACCTAAACGCTGTATTGTACCCCATCATCTCTCCCTTGATTTTGCCTCTCTCCCTCGATTTAGCCCTATCTGCTTCACCTCTCCACCTATCCTGAAATATGGAACACTATTGCCAAGCGTCTCCAACCCACAAATAGATCAAGGCCCATTTAGTTGAAAAATGAGCTTAAGAATCTTTCCATGAATAATCAATCCATGGCTCAATACCTCACAGCTATCAAAACCTTGGTGACAGTATATCAGCAGAAGGTGGTCACTCAGATGATGAGGATATTATCTTCTATATCTTAATTGGTCTACGAATCAACTACAATACTTTCTAAACATCCATATGCACTCATCGTCAACCCATCACATTGGATGACTTCTATGCGTTATTATGCAGCGAGGAGATAATCAGACAACAGATCAACAAAATCAGAGGCCATTGTAAACCCTCAAGTTGCTCTAAACACATATCATGAAAGGCAAAATACATCCTCTCAAGGGAGAGGCTGACATCAACCATCAAACCTTAACCAATCCAAGTCAAACCGTACCTCCATACGATCAACAGTAGTATGCCAAATTTGCAACAAAGTTGGGCACTCTGCTGCCCACTGCTGGAATCGATCCAATCTCGACTATACGCCCATCAACAAAGCCTTACAAGCCGAATCCTCATGGGTTCTAGACTATAGAGCTACAACACATCTTACGGCGGACCTCAATCAACTTCAAGTTGCTGACCCGACCGACGGTTTTGAACAAGTCCTTGTGGGCAATGGCCAGTCCACTGCGGTAAAACACACAGGTGATGGTATTCTTCCTACACCAACCAACACACTTCGCCTTCCCTCCATATGGCATGTCCCTACCTTTTCTCATAATCTTCTATCAGTTCATAAACTCATTGTTGATAATAATGTAGCAATTCTTTTTTATTGTGCTGGTTTTCTTATCTTTGACCTGCATACCCACCAAATCTTATTTCGTGGCCATAACTTCCAGGGGCTATACTCCGCTTGTATATCACACCGACAATTTAACACAAAGGCCTCTCATCATGCCTTGAACATCTCTTCGCAACTGTCTCCACTTTGGCATAAACGTCTCGAACATCCTCATCCAGAGATTCTCCACCATATATACAAGTTCAACCGGCACTTCATATTCCATCTAGCTTAATTTTATGTAATTGTTGCCAATATAATAAGAGTCATATGAAACCTTTTCCTTCTCTTTCTCTAAAAATGTATTCACCACTACAACTTATACATTCCGAAGTACGGGGTCCATCCCCAATATTATCATATCAAAGTTTTCGCTATTACGTCATTTTTATAGATGACTATTCCAAGTTTTGTTAGCTTTTTCCTATGAAACATACTGAGTTGTGACATATATTTATTAAATTTCTCAATATGCTTGAAACCCAATTCAACACCACTATAAAAATATTCAAATCCGATGGAGGAAGTGAGTACAATAATTCTACAGTTAAACAAACATTCGGTCACTACAGTATTCTCCACCAATTTTCATGCCCATATACTCCTTAACAAAACAGTGTTGCGGAGCGCAGACACCGTCATTTAATTGAAACTACTGGAACATTACTCCATGATGCATCTCTACCCCTCAAGTTTTGGCTCGAAGCATTGCTTGCAGCGGTCTCTCAGTAATCGTATACCTTCCAAAACTACTCAATGGATTACTCCCTACGAACTCCTCCACAAACATACACCTACATACTCTCATCTCAGAATATTTGGATGTCTTTGGTATCCATGGCTGAACCCGTCACTCCTCATAAATTAGCCCCTCGTTCAGCCCCATGTATTTTCCTTGGCTATTCACCGACCCATAAAGGCTTCAAGTGCTACAATCCTCAAACCTCCAAAATCACTATCTCACAGCCATGTTGTCTTCTATGAAAATAATTTTCCTTCAATCTCCACTACCTCCAATCCTCCTCCAACCGAACATACACCCTTTAATCCACTTCTGATGGTTCCCACCACAGCCGTTCAGCATAACTCAGAAACACCGCCAGCCTCAATTACCTCCTCACCGAACCCTTCACAAACATCCAGCCCCACCGCAAGCCTTCAATCTGACCTTCCTTCTCCTAGCACTTCACACCAAGGTGAACTGAGCGAAATACCTCCAGCTGCCCCTCATCCTATGACTACCCGCAGCAAAACAGGCAACCTGAAACCCATTCAACGTCTCAACCTGCTGCAACAAACTCATCCAAAACCTGACCCTACTTCCTACTCCCAAGCCACAAAATCTGCCATATGAAAGAAAGCCATAAGTGAGAAATTTCATGACCAGCAAGCTCAAGGTACATGGGTTCTTGTCCCACCTCCATCTAACCAACCCGTCTTGGGTTCTCGCTGGACATATTGGACCAAATACCATTCGGAGGGCTCTCTGGCACGCTACAAAACTAGGCTTGTAGCTCAGGGTTTTAAACAAGAGCATGGACTTAATTACTATGAGAAGTTCAGAACGTTGGCGAAAATACCAACACTTCGAACTCCCTTGATGGTGCTTTTAATCGGCAATGGCCCATTAAAGAGTTTGATGCGTCCAATGCATTCCTTCATGGTACGCTTAACGAAACTATCTATATGAAACAATCAATTGGGTTTACGGATACTGAATTCCCTCAACATGTATGTTTACTTAAGAGAGCATTTTATGGACTCAAACAATCTTCGCAACAATGGTTCACTACCATATCCGAGTTTTAGGCTAACTCAGGCTTTACAATTAGCAGAGCCAATCCATTGTTACTTATCTCCCGGCAAGATGATCACACTTTATTTCTTCTTTTAAATGTTGACGAGATTCTTGTCACAAATGATTTCATGGAGGCAATTCAGATCCTCACTTAAGCTCTTTGAGAGACTCCAAATCAAACAATTAAGAGATGTGAACAAATTTTTAGGCATTAAGGTTCTCCGGATCTTGACTCAACAATCATATCTTACACATATACTTCAAGAAACAACAATGATAGATTGCAAAAAAGTTTCCACTCCCCTTCCATCTAAGAAGATTGATTCTTCTCACAACACACCACTTCTGGATATTCCGAAGGAGCAAAGAAGTGTTGCTGAAGCCCTTCAGTACCTCACGGTTACTCGCCCCGATATTGCTTTTGTCGTTAACAAAATCTGTTAGCATATGCATCTGCCCACAATAGAGCACTATAAACTTCTCAAACGCCTCCTTCGGGAACCATTGACACTAGTATACTCATTACACATGAGAACTTAACTCTCCAAACATTTTCGGATGCCAATTAGGCAGGTGATTCAGTGAACCAAAAATTCACTACAGGTTTTTGCTCTACATTATGATCGACACCTATCTCATGGACCGTGAAGAAACAACAAACCGTTGCCCGGTCTTTTACGGAGGCTGAGTACCGTGACTTGGCTGCCGCAACAGTTGATATCTTATTGCTTCGTACAGAGCTTGGAGTTGATCAATCACAACCAACCAAGCTATATTGTGACAACATTTCGACGATGACTCTTGCAAATAATCTGGTTTTCCATGCCTGGACTAAACACATCGAAATTGACTACCACTTCATTCGGGGCCATCTCCAACACGGGTAAAATCGAGATTCATTACATTCCTACAAAAGATCAACCTGATGATCTCTTTACTAAAGCTATTCCTAAGCGACCAAAGTTCAAATTCTTCAAATTCAAGCTTCAGGTTTTTTCCAAGAACCATCATTTTGAGGGGGAGGGGGGGGGGGGGAATTAG